TCCTTAATGTAAAGATCTTGTGCTATAACTTTTAAAGCCATACAAATAAGAGTGCTAAACTGTGGACTTAAAAGTAGGTGTGTAAATATTTTTAATCAGTATTACTTGGAAAATAAAATATAACAACCACATAAAATAAACCAATATGCTATTTTCTTTACCTGTTAAATATTGGGAGATATTTACATTTTTAAAGTAAACTTTAAAATTATGTGTTCATGACTCTTTTTTTTTTTTAATTACCAGTGTGAAAGTTGGTATCTGGTCAGAGATATTCTCTGTGTCTTTATGTACTTGTATTAACACGACTAATTCATGAATTGAGATATAAAATTCCCAATACACACCTCCAACCCCCAAAAATCAGCTCAAAAGAAAGTAAGAGGAACAAGTTAGTATTCTTCGTAGTTCTTAAACATGGTGGGCACAATAGCAAATGGACTTTTTTTTTTAGTAGAGCCTATTTAAACAAATACTTTGTCTACTTATTAGTGTGTTAAATTTAAAAAATCTGTTCGATTAACCCCCTCTGGCAATCCTGATGTTAGATGGTACTACATTTATGAAATATACTGAAGACAATGGCTTCTCACAGTTGGAGAAGTGACCGATCTAAATATAACAGGAATAAGGAGGGTTGTGTTTTTAAGATCAAAATAAGTGTATGAACACTTCCAACTCTGTTCTTTTTGGCAGTTGGATACCTACCGCAAAACTTATTTATACAGTGTATTTTTTCTTTGAAGTTAGAAAATACTGATAATAGAATTAAAGTATATCACATTGAATTTTCAGCTTGCCTTAGGATGCCTGTGTTCCTAAGTTGTAGGGTTTTTTTTAAAGCCCTAACAGATAGCAGTCTCAAATATGTAAATTGCTAGTTAATAGCTGGTAAATTTTAGATGCTGAAAATAACTCATGCTGTGCCCTTAAGCCAAAGTATGAAACAAGGTTTATTTTTAAACATATTCTTTGAAGAACTCTGACCGCAAGGTAGAGATCAGAGGCAAAGATACATCAAAGTGTTAAAATTATCATTTGAGTTTTTATATGTGACAAGTCCTTTCAAGACAGATTTGAAGAACAGAGTTCATTCTCTTTTCCCAAAAGATATAAATATTAGTGTGCTCAGAATGCTAAAAAATCTGATTGCAAAAGGAGAGGGAAACTGCCCTGGGAAAAACCTTTTGTTGAACACCACTTTGCAGTTTGGAAAGCACTTTACATATAACATAAAACCGCTATTAACAACTGATGTGTATTTGTTCCTACAGTGTTTTCCCACTTTATCTCTTCTGGGGTTTTAACCTAGGTCTACAGTATAATAGGTGGACAATAGAGTGTGCAACGTTAATGATCACATAGAAATAAGTCCCATGCGCACTGGAGAATGGTAGGAGAGCCTCTTCTATCTCCGCTACTCCACTCTTCCCACAGTGATTCTCTGACACCAATGTGACACTGTTCAGAGTTAGAGCAAGTTAAGTGCTCAGTGTCGCAAGATTGCCTCCACTTCAGACACCAGCCACAAATGCAGTCAATGGTCTACCCTCACTTCTACCCAGCCAACTATTATACAAGTTCAGGGTTCCCACAGTTCCCCACCCTCCAAGTTCAATAATGCACTAGAACAACTCACAGAACTCAGCAAAGTACTGTACTTACAGTTTTATTACAAAGCATACGATTCAGGAACAGCCAAAAGGAAGAAATGCGAAAGATAAGGTGGAGGGGTGCTGAGGAGGACAGCAGTTTCCATGCCTTCTCCTGGCATGCCACCCTCCTAGCACGTTGATGCGTTCACCACCTCAGAAGCTCTCGCTGAAATTTCTTAACTTAGGCTGATTAAATCCTTGGCCATTGGTAACTGAACTCAATCCCCAACCCCTCTCCGCTCCCTGAAGGTCTCAGATGGGCTGATAGTTGTAGTCCTCTAATCATGTTGGCTCCTCTGGTGACCCACCTCCATCTTGAAGCTATCTAGTGGCCCCCTCCCAATAAGTCACCTTATTAGTATAAACTGGTAAGGTCAAACAGGACTTGTTAGGAACAACAAAAGATAAATTCCAAGAGGCCAGGCTCGGTGGCTCATGGCTGTAATCCTAGCACTCTAGGAGGCCAAGGCGGGAGGATTGCTCAAGGTCAGGAGTTCGAGACCAGCCTGAGCAAAAATGAGACACCGTCTCTACTAAAAATAGAAAGAAATTAGCCAGACAACTAAAAACATATAGAAAAAAATTAGCCAGGCATGGTGGCACATGCCTGCAGTCCCAGCTACTCAAGGAGGCTGAGACAGAAGGATTGCTTAAACTGAGGAGTTTGAGGTTGCTGTGAGCGAGGCTGACGCCACGGCACTCTAGCCCAGGCGACAGAGCAAGACTCTGTCTCCAAAAAAAATAATCTCCAAAATAAATAAATAAATAAATAAATTCCAAGGGTTTTAGGAGCTCTGTGCTAGGAACCCAGGACAAAAACGAAACACTTTTATTATACTATAACTACCATCTGAGATTGAAAAGAAAACTGAACACTAATATCAATGCATTTAAAAGCCAGAACTCTTTTTGTCTACGTACCAAGCGTACCAAACCACAAGGCTTTTATAGTCTTACTAGTCTAAAAACGCTGCCATGCTCATGTAATACTTGGGAGTATTTTCATGGAAATTTTGTTTCTCCCACTACTTTCAACTTGGAATTAAAGATTTCGGGATTAGAAGGGTCCATGAAAGTTCTCGCTCTGGACTGACCCCCTATTTTATACTTTGAGTAAGCCAACAGGCTTAATAAGTCAAAAAGTGACCTAATGTAAATAGCTTTCAATCAAGTGGATTTTAATTCACATTTTTAATTTAACGTGAGTTGATTGTTTTAAGCAAGTGATCATATGTTTATTAAGGTGTTCACATGAAAATAATGTTCTGTAACTCTGACATGCAAAATACCTTAATAGCTTTGAGTTCATTAGGTTAACACTGACCTTTTTATTAATTACATCAAGAGAGGGGACCTAGGCTGAGTGTTTTTTATGTAGAATGTGCTGAGCTGTGCTATAGCTCTTACAGAATTTGTCATAAAGGATTCAAATAAGAAGCAGCAGGAATTAAAACTATCAAACCGTCATCACCACCAATTAATGAGATCCATTCTAGTTAGAGGCCTAGACATGTATTGCTTCAAAACCATAAATGCAGAGGCTATCATAATAATATAGTCTGAACTTATATCTTAAAGCTGTACTCTGTACCCTATAAATGTTACTGCATTAATTTTATTGATGTGGTAAGTAGGAAGGCAGCATGTGAGTTCGATATCTTTTTCTCCTTGTCTTTCTCCTACAATCCAATATGATGCTATAAATATGACCCTAAGAATTAGTCAACTGAAGCAATCCTCATCTTGATGTTTGTACCAAAATGCAGCCTAGAAAAGAAAAATTTTATTCTAACATAATAGCTGTCATTTATGAATCACTAATATACTGAGCACTTTACATTTAGTTATTTCAGTGACCTCCTGAGGCTACTATATTATTAGGTATCATTTTATAAGTAAAAGAAACAAAGAAGCTGAAAAACAACTGGTAAGGTACAGCTAGTAGTTGAACTGGAGATGGACTCCACAGATTACCTCTGATCGCTAAAATACAGTTACCTTTCTACAAAATCTTTGTATTATAGTTGACAACATTGGATTGCCCAAAGCATAGGATAAACACCTATTTTCTTTTTGGAATCTCCACCAGCTATTGATGGGTTAGAAATAGAGGGAACAAGAGATCAAAAAAGGTGGAAAGATTGTCCTTTAATATCTTCTTGCTCTGAGACTTTAGGCAACTTTAGCATGCCTCAGGATGGTTTTCCAACTTTAGCATGCATCAGAATCTCGTTAAAGCTAGTTGGGGATGATGGCCCACACCTGCAGTCCCAGCAACTCAGGAGGCTGAGACAGGAGGATGGCTTGAGCCCAGGAGTTCAAGGTTACAGTGAACTGTGATCGTGCCACTGCACTCTAGCCTGGGTGACAAAGCGAGACCCCTGTCTCTAAAAATGAAAATAAATAAAGAT